TAAAGTTTATTTTTGATTCGAAATTAGTGTCGTATATTATACGCTTAAGATTATACACATTTCTATCAGTATTGTCGAATATTGATGTACTTTTTCATCATAGGGAGATTAACTCGTTCGAGACTCAATTTTTCATTTCTTATTTCAATATTAGTTCTTATAGGCATTTGAATTATTTTTGTTGTATTTTTTGCTGGCATTCTGTTTCAAAACACAATAGTAGAGCTCCTATAAATTGCTTTTTCATCTTAAATATTTTTTTAACAATTTAAAAATATCACAATATATGATCCAACTTATATAATACGTAATTTCTCACATGTTTTGGCAGAAAACATTCACTTTGTACTTCGATTTTCTCTGATGAACTTAAACTACTTCGTATCATTGCCTAAAATCTAATCATACTTTTAATTAAAAAAAGTAAAATATCAAACCGTCAGATTGAAAGTAGCAACTTCTCAATGAATTTGTGAATTCCATTTCTCTTGATTTATTTAATCATATTTACAAGTCACTGTAGAACGCCTTGAATAATTAAGATACATTTTTATGCTATCTGATCAGATTTAGTATTGTTTAATCGTCATGAAATCTATTACGAACAGCTATTAAGTGGACAAGCTTTCATTATCAATAATACATTTGTTTGATCTGAATATATCAATTTCACGCATATATATGTTACGGTCAAAACTGGAATCTGGTCAAATTCTAAATTTGATCGAGCAAAATTGGAAGTCGAATTTTGACTGGACAAATTTAGAATTCAAATTTTGACCAACTTGTTTTTTGGCAAAATTGGAATTCTAGTTTTATCCGGACGAAATTAGAATTGGACTAAAAATAAAGTGATACACATTTTTGTATTGTTCAAAAACATAGAAAGGAAAAATATTAACAAAGATAGATAACTGTTCTTTTTCAAAGAACACAACAAAAGAAATGAGTAGAATATTCTAGAGTGCTCTAATTGTTTTATTCGACTTTTTATATATAGGAGTAGTGCGTATTGTATTATCGTCAAAAAAGACAAATTCAAATACGACAGATATGCATGGGATTGACAAAAAGATTTAATTTAAATGATTGTGTTGGAATCCCCATTCATACAGTGATAGAACAAATACTGACCCTAAATATTCACCATGTTTAATTGTTGAAAAACTTGAAAAAAAATAACAACGTTTTATATAAATTAGTTTGTCAATATGGCAAATTAGAAAATACTTTTTCTGTTGAAGATCTGGTCGATTTAAAATCAGCTTGTTCAGAAGAATTAAAACAACTATTCATAGATGAGTTAAAAGATATTATAATAATTGAAGCATGTAAACCTTATATTCGTAGATCGACAAGCGAACGTATATGTGAGTGTAAAGGAAAATGTGCCACTAACCAATGTCCATGTAAAAAAAGTAGGACTTTTTTGCTTAACTAAATGTCATTCTAAATTAGGAGTTTGTAAGAATATGGGTAGATAGATTAGAAAATAGGAACTGTGACTTGTTTGATAAAAACAAAATTATGGAATAAAATAGCAGTTTGAAATAAAAAATAGTTTTTGAAATAAAAATCTCTTTGTTTGTTCAAACTCTAAATGTTCCAGGTTGCCCAATTTACTTTTAGTCCAATTCTAATTTCGTCTGGACATAATTGGAATTCCAACATTGTTCAAAAACAATCTGGTCAAAATTCGAATTCTAAATTTGCTCGGTCAAAATTAGAATTCAGACTTTGTCCGATCAAATTTAGAATTTGACCAGTTTCCAACTTTAACCGTAGCATATAAATACAGAATTTCAATTATTAATAATAGAATAATATATACTGTTTCTTTTTATCCTTTGCTGTATCTGAAATAATTTCTAGTAAAAATTACTGTTGTAGTACTATTAGAATTTGATCAATTGAAACTATTAATATTGTACAATTCAAATGCATTAGTATTTGAGTTTCTGCTCAATGCGATCATATATGAACATTTTACTCTAAATAAAATTATGATCAACTACATATTTATGACAATGACATTAAATATGGTAAATAATCCAACATGATATAATGATCAAAAACTATTTATCTTCCACAAACCATGTTTCTCCTTTTTTATTTTGAAGGAAGGATTATGGTAGAATATTCAAGGTGGTAAAAATGAAATAGAAAACTTATTATTATTGGGTTCAATGATGATGCTCATTTGATCGATTGAAATATTCATCATCCTGTTATCAATAATAATCTGATGGTCCTCATTGTTGTAGATAATAATTCAGTGCATCTTGTTACTTTATGTTCAAAAAAAAAATAAATTAAATATGATACAATTCATTCTGTAGATTTGAAAAAGGAATATTCTCATAAAAAAGTCGCTTTCTTGTAAAAAAAATTAATTTTATTTTTTGCACTTGAAAAAATAAACAATAAAAATATTACATTTTTTTTTGGAAACTTGATAAAGAAAACATGTCTAAACTATAGTCATTTTTTCGTATGTAATAAAAGTCAACTAAATGTTACATTATTATTTTACAAGAGACACAAAACAGATACGATTACAAACTATAAAACTGTTTTTCCTGGAAAAACAGCCAATTTTATTTGATAAATCAAAAGAATGTCGATATAAATATGGCATATGATTTCACATTTTGAAATATTAGAAGGAAAATCATATAATTCATCGAACAGATTCATCAAAACTAATATGTTTAAATTATCGCTTTTTTTAATGAAAAGAACAAATCATTAAACTTTGGATTCGAAAAACATAAAGTCCATATCACGTAACAGGTTTTCTATCGATGGAAATATTGAATTCAAAAAACTATTTCTTTAAAAAAACAGATTATTTTACTCGCTATCTCCGATGTAAAATTTCCTTAACGATTGAACGAAAAAAGATGTCACCTTTCTAATCATGAAGACACATTAAAATATCTACTTTAATGAAATAACACGAATTACATATATTTTGCTTTAATTTCATTTTAATGAGAAAATATTCTGGAATTTCATTAACGTCAATATTTTAACGCATTTTTTTTTATCAAGAATGTAAAATATTTTTTCGTTAAATTATTAAATTTAAAAAAAATCTTGCATGGGAATTAAAAAAAGAAGAAAAAACGACGTTACCTGATTGTTTTTTAATTTCAGATTGAAAAACAGACGAACTCAACATTATATGACTAAATCGATAGATTTCACGGGATGAATAGGTGTAAATTACAGATTTTCTTACATAGAAAGAATATAGCAATTCGTTTAGCACTTAGAACAAAGAATAAACAGAATATCATGCAAATATTTAAATTAAATATTTTCAGGACTTCTATCATTCTTTGGTCTGATATTTTTAATGATGAAAAATTTACATATTGTATTGGTATGCATATATGTTTCTTCTCATTAAATGCTAAAGTGTTTTGTTATTGTTGTAGATATTCATGTAAGCAGAACGTTGTGTAATCAATGTAGCATGTTTTCGTTCACCACTGTTTCTAATAAAACCAACCTGCTCTACCGTTATATGCATTAGATTAATATAGAATCGGAATAGAAAAACTTCACACGTTTTAAATCTGTTTGTTGACTAGCATATACCTGTCGTAGTAATCATATATTGACTTCTACAAACATAAATGAATATGAGTCTACGTTAACTTAGAATTGAAACAGAAAAATTTAGTTTTTAATGTCATGTATATGGCACATCCTCACGTTCTAGCGTATTATATCAACATGATCGTTAAATAGAGTAGGTTAGTTGAAAGAAAAATTAGCAGTTATGTACGTACATTTAGTTTTGTATTTTTTTTTGCACTAGCATAGATCAATCTTTGATGCACCGTGATCTTGCAGCAATTATATTTGATTTGGAAACGATAAAGTTTTAAATGCATTTGATGCAAATACAAAATTATCAACTGTTATAATATCAAATGAATAAGAGCAAGTTGTTAATGATGATAAAAATAATTAACAAGTTGGTCAAAATGTTCCACCATCACTATTAGATAATAATAATAATGTGCCACAATTAAATCATCTTGAATTAAATTCAAGAAGCAAAGAAAAACATTCGTTTATATATATATTTTTTTTGATTGTTCTGTGTAATTATAAATATCTGTTAATCTTTCTCCTACATGTTGATGGAGTTTGATCTAAGAATTTGGACATTTTAATAAAGAAAAGCTTAGAGTTTACAGATCTCACTGGTTTGTATTTTTTCTGATGTTTTGCAAATCTGACTCTTGATGCACTATGATCGATAACCAGATAGATTAATCTAAGTTGATTCTTGAAATTTGATGCACTGAGTGTTCCATACATCTATATTATTGTGTCAGAAAAGTGTTAGTGTAACCATATGTATAAATGTTTAAAATAAATTTATAGATTTTTAAGTGAAAAACATTGAAAGTCATTATATCTCACTGTTGATTTCATCGTTTTCTATTCGATTTATATTTGGAATAGCTTTCTTAGCTATAGTTTAGGTAAAATAAGACATTGAGAGAGATAAATGATGTTTTTTAGCTTTGAGAAAATGAATTTTTTTCTGTAATATAGAAATGTAGATAAAATGGTTCTCGACAGTGAATAAAGAGAGACGAAAAGTTTCAGTCTAAAAATATAAAAATAAGCAAACAAGATAATAACATTCGTGCAAGATTGAAGAATCAAATTTTAAAATTTTTTTCCAAAAAAATAAGAATAATCTTAGTCTAAATTTATCAGATTAAATCAGACCCAAATATCATACAGATGCTAAAACAAAATTATTTTTTTCGTTGTATTGTCTTGTAAAAGAGCAAATTTTAGCTTTATCAACAATATTTAATTGGATTTTCTAAAGAAGTTGATTTTTTTTATTGATATGTGCTATATTGTAGATAATAATTCGAAAAATTTTCATTAAACTAAAGATGAGCACACGGTGCATATTCTGCTCGGTATTGTGCTCGGGTAACTCTTGCTTACAATGCAATCAAATGAATCGTTGTCAAAAATTTGCAAGATTGCTTCAGCTTTTGGGACAATGTTCTGAAAGTATTGTTTATTATGATGAAATTGCTTCTGTCGTGCAACGAATTCGACAGGTAAGTCTACTACGGTTCTAATTAAATTATAAAGAAAATGTTATAGATTGAATCAATTATGGCACCAATTCAGTTTCATTCGAATCAAGTTTTCGATGAAACCAAACATATTGTGGATCCAATTGCTAAAAAATATCTTGAGAAAGCGACTAATGATGTACATCATCTTATTCCGGGCAAAGTTGCTGATGACGGAAACTGTTTATACCATTCAATTCTTCTATTAATGAATAATCCAACGATGACGACGGATGAATTGCGCGGTAAATAGATTTATTTTTCGTTTATATCATTGTACAATCTATTTTAATATAATTTTTAGTTCGAACAATTATCGAACTTATGACAAATGAAGCTTATTATGATAGCATGTATTCACAATTCATCGGATCTGTTGCATTTATTATCAAGGCTATGTGCAGAAATAATACATTTTCAGAATTGTATGAAATTAGTGCATTATGCAATGTACTTAAATGTAATATACGAAGTATCTATCCAAAAATCGATTTTCGAGAAGATATGACCATTTTGAATAACGTATTTACGCCTGCTCCACCTGCCATTGCCAACCGTAACATCGAAATTTTGTGGTCTCATGTCTTGAACGAAACAGCTGCACGAGCTGCAAATAATGGCGAATGGAGTCCCAATCATTTTGTTCCTCTTCTATCATCAGCAATGAATTACACATCTGAATATGAAAATAAATCACCAACGTTTCCTGTAAGTTGTTTATTCATAACTGCTTCTCTGGAAATTTTTGAAATTTATTTAGACTCCTGAAAAGAAAACGTTTAATAATAATACTCCTACTCGAATACGAAGTCCTGAATTTGAATGTTCTCCTAGCAGCCGTCGACGTATCGATAACATGGGAATGTACTCCACTCAATCAATCAGTTCAAGTGTACTACAACAAAGTCAAAGTGACATAGAAGAGCAACGTCGAGTGCGGCTTGATGCACAAAAAGAACGAGCTCGATCTAGCCGAATGAACGAAACAGCTGAACATCGTCAAATTCGGCTTGAAAAGCAAAAACATCGAGATCAATCTCGTCGATCAAACGAAACAGAAGAACACCGTCAACTTCGCCTTGAAAAGCAAAAAACACGAAATCAATCGAATGAAACAATAGAACAACGTCAAATTCGACTTGGAAAACAAAAAACACGAAACCAATCGAACCGATCAAATGAAACAGAACAACAACGTCAAATTCGACTTGAGAAGCAAAG